AAAAAAAAAAAAAAATAAATAAAAAAAAAAACACATCATAGTAAAATTAATACCTTCTCAGCTTCGCATCGAAGCTAAAAATGAGTTAGTGTAGATGCAATCAAAAAATTCAAAGTCAAAAAAAATTTGTATACAATTACAGTGAACTGGTATCATTTTGGCCGTAAGGTATATATTTGGTCACTTAATAATCACCTAACCCCTTGACTGTGCCACTGCTTCTAAATATTACTATAAACCATTTGTAAACAAAATTAGATAATTCCCTAACTTTTATTTGAAGTAGACTATATCTTTAACTTCGTTAGATTAAATTATCGAAGCTAACAAAATAAATTTTGAAGTGACCTATTGTTTACTTGTTGGTAAATTTAGAATCATTTAGCAATAATGTAAAATATTAAAAAAACAAATTAAAAAGAATATTCTCATCTTTAGACAATATTTTCAATAACATTGGCGATATTATTCTCAAAAAAAATAATTACGGTAATTTTTAATTATTAGTCAGGGGTTTTTATGAATATTATAAATAACTATAACGTTATTTCAGTGGTTAGGTTTGGTCTATTAATATATTTTTATAACTGATTTTATTTCATGAAATATATTACATAAATGCAATAATAAAATGGTTAAAGATTATTGATTTTTAAGATATATTGATAAGGGGGATTAATTATTACTTTTTTAAAAAATTAATACTAATATTGATATGTACCTTAAAAAAATTAGCACAGGGGGGTCGCGGCACAGTGGTGACGTGGCATAGTTGGATCAATTATAATGATATCTGACAGTGATTAAAATCACTATAAAAAAAAAACGCTTCGATGCAAATCTTTAGATAGTGTTTAATTTAAAAAAATAGATGGATTATTCCAAAACCTACATGACCTGCTATTTCCATATTAATTTCCTGATTAAGATGAAGTATGTGGAATGAAAAAGGGATTATTAAAAAATATTATTTCTCATAAAAAAATTGTGTTGATCCATACACTTTTCAATAAGTTATAGCATTATTATAGTTAAGTGTAAAAGTAAATTTTTTGTGAAAAAGTTGTCATTTTAAATCCTCCCCCGTTGGCAAATAAAAGGTCAGATTTATAAAAAAAATATACCAAATAATAGGTAAAGACATCAAGCATCTATATAAAAGAAAAATTATATAGATTTGATTATTTTTAAAAAAGTTATGGCAATTTTAAGTGAAAAAAAATGAAAAAAAATCGAAAATTAGCGATTTTTAAATTTGTAATTTTTTGGGGGATTTCCCCCGTTTACGGGGAACGAGGGAATTTTTTTCAATTTTTGAAGGTAATGTCTTCGACTAGATACGATTTGTGATCTTTTGACATATTGTTCATCAAAATCGGTCCAGCGAGAGCTGANAGGTAATGTCTTCGTTTAGATACGATTTGTGATCTTTTGACGTAATATTGAAAGAAATCGGTTCGGTTAGAGCTGAGAAAAAGTGGTAACAGACACAAAAAAAAAACACATCATAGTAAAACTAATACCTTCTCAGCTTCGCATCGAAGCTAAAACAGTAATAACTACTTTCATTTAACTAGAATCGTTTTAATTGTTATTTGACTATTAAATGGGGAAAGGATTAAATCAAAATTTGACATGTTGATAATCATTTTTGTATTATTATTTTTAGAGCTAATATAATTTTTAGCTTTAAGCGTGAGAGATGTGCAACAGAATTCTTATTTGTGCGTTAAAATAAATATAAAGTGTCACTAAACGTAGGACCGGATTTACCCAAAAAGTGCCCTTAGGCTAATAAGAAACAAACACCCTCTTCTTAGAACACAGATAGAATGAGAGCTGAGCTGATCACCTCCTCCCAATTTACTTAAAAATTTGTAATTTCTAATGTATAATCTATAGTTAACTTTAACTTTTAAATACTTTTAAAAGTTAAAGTAAAAAAATTATGTATTGATACTTTTTAGTTTAAATTATGATGATAAAAAAATCAATCGTGCATAAATTATAATTAATGAATAATAATAAAAAATAATGATTATATTTTTATTCTGTTAATAAACGATTAATTTAGTAAATACAATTGTCAACTTATTAATGTAAACAACAAAAATGTGCACAGTTATAAAAAATAAGAAACATTAATTAATAATATGTTTAGCGTTTTCTTGATTTGGTTGCTCGACACAATTTATACGACCGCCGTCGCCGATTATTATTTTAGATAATGTATACCGTCGTGCCGTAGCTACCCTGCTTAATCACATTTATATATATGTATATTGTAGAATATATTCCGCGCTATTTTTATAATTTTACAACGGCGAGCAACTAATTTACCAAAATAACTACATTAATTCTAGTAGATGGAAAATAAACTCCCAGACAGGAATTATATCTAAAAAAAAATCAAGAGTTTTGCCTGCCGCAGTGTCCCTAGGCTAGTCTAGTTAGCCTAGTCCAAAATCCAGCCCTGACTAAACACTAATTCACTCCTCATATTTTATAAAATTGGTTTGAACAAAATAAAACTAACGGTATTAAAACACAGTTTAGCATAAAAAATAATTATTTTTTTTACTTTATTTAATTTTTAATTAGAATAATTTTAAAAAAATAGTAGAGACATTGCATAGTAGGGTCCAATATAGATTTAATCTGACAGTGATTAAAATCACTATCATAAGAAACGCTTCGATGCAAATCTGTAGATAGTGTTTAATTTTAAAAAATTGATGGATAATTGCAAAAGCAACATCAACTTCTATTAAAATAAAATACAAAACCCATAATTATCATACAAAAATAGTATATTTTTCAATATGGTAGCCATTTGCGTATAGAAGATAGATCGTCGGGACAAATTTTTTTTTTTCATTTTGTAGTACATAAAATAAGCTTTAATTTTATATATGTTTAAAGGACGCAGTATTTCCGGAACATTTTCAAAAATTAAGTTGAAAAAGTTATTTTTTGTAAAAAAGTTACTATTTTAAATCCCCTCAATGAGCAGAATAAGTGTAAGATTTTCAAAAAAAATTATATCAAATGAAAGGGAAATATCTAAGGTTTCAATACAAAAAAATATTATTTTTATTTGTTCATTTTTGAAAAAGTTATGGCAGTTTTAAGTACAAAAAACATCCCGATAAAATGTAATTTTTATCGCAAACATTACATTTTTTTTTGAATTTTCGACAGCCATTTGCACATAGAAGATAAGATGTCGGGACAAATTTTTTTTTTTCATTTGATAGTATATAACATAACCTTTGATTTGATATATGTTTAAAGGACGCAGTATTTCCGGAACATTTTCAAAAGTTCAGTTGAAAAAGATCTATGTTTTTTACAATATTTTAAGTTTTGAACGCCCCCTATATAAGGGGAAATTGTCCAATTTTAATAAAAAGTATGTCAAATGAAAGATGTACTTATAATGTATTTAGAAAAAAAAAATTTGTGCTGATATATACATTTTTCAAAAAGTTATAGCATTTTTAAGTTGAAAATTTAAAATCGAAAATCGAAAATTTTAACACAAAAATAGTGTTTTTTTAACTACGGCAGCCGTTTAAATGTAGAAAAAAAAGTGTCGGGACAAATTTTTTTTTTTCATTTTGTAGTACATAAAATAAGCTTTAATTTGATATATGTTTAAAGGACGCAGTCTTTCCGGAACATTTTCAAAAATTAAGTTGAAAAAATTAATTTTTGTAAAAAAGTTGCCATTTTAAATCCCCCCCAATGAGCAGGTTAAGTGATAGATTTTCAAAAAAATGATATCAAATGAAAGGTAAATATCTAAGGTTTTAGTATAAAAAAAAATTATGTTGATTTGTTGATTTTTCAAAAAGTTATGGAAGTTTTAAGAAAAAAAAGTGAAAAAATTTCGAAAATTAGCGATTTTTAAATTTGTAATTTTTTTGGATATTTCCCCCATTTGCGGGGAACGAGGGAATTTTTTTCAATTTTTAAGGGTAATGTCTTCAACTAGATACGATTTGTGATCTTTTGACGTATTTTTGAAAGAAATCGGTCCAATGAGAGCTGAGAAAAAGTGGCAACAGACATAAAAAAAAAAAAAAACACATCATAGTAAAATTAATACCTTCTCCGCTTCGCATCGAAGCTAAAAAAATTAATAAAATATTTTGTTTTTTATAAATAAAACTTAATTGTATCTCCAGGACTTTATAAAATATCTTATATCAACCATGAATAAAATATTACATTGTCTATAATTTATATGTATAATTTTCTACTAAATACCAATAAATATTCTAAATAAGATAAAAAGTATTTTTATCCTTTTTAAGAAAATTTTAACCCTTCTAATAAAGGGGTTGAATATCATGTTCAAAAAAATTTTGTTTTTATACATAGAACAAAATTTCAGGTATCTGGAATCAAATTTGAAATTTGTGATATAAGGTATTTTTTATTATTTAATAATACAATAAAAATAACATGATAAAAAAAAGTTATATTTCTCAAAACTACTATTTTGACGGTTACTGTCTTTTAATTTAAATGAACAATAATGAATTTAATTTAGCTCAATATTCAGGTTAATAAAGTAGGCCAGTCAATTAACTTAATCTATTAATTTTTTAAATAAAAATTGTTATACAATTTTAAAATATTGCTAAAATATTTATAATTTTCTAAATTTTATAATTATTAAAATATTTATTTATAACAAACTTCATTAATGCAACTAAGAAAATTGTACATATTAAAAAAATTAAGATTTATTAATCATCACAAATATTTTATTAGTTAGTCAATGATGATTTATAATTTAAAGTAAAATTTTATGATTTCCTGAAAAAAATTAAATATATAACACAAAAAGTTATATCTGTATTGTTAAATTAAAATTTTTCTTTACTTTATATTTACTAAACTCTGATTTTGCCACTTTTAATTTTTTTGTATAATTCTTGAGTAAATGGAATAAATTTATTGCCTTCATTGAAATATATACAATCTTGACTGATTTTTTCTAATTTGTATGAATCATTTTGTAAATTATTTTTTTTCAATTTAAAAGTACCTAAAAACCATTATATTAAAAATGAATTTAAAAATATAAAATGCTTAAATATATATACAGATGTTCCAACTTGTTGACCAACATTTAATTCTCTGAATATTTTACAGTTATTAACTGTAATTAATTTCATACATTTAAACAAATTTCTAAAAACTTATAAAAATTAAATTTATTATAGTAGTTATACAATTCTAAACATCTGTCTAAGATCAGCAGAGAAACTTAATATCTATTTAAATTTTCATTATATTGTGAGATTTTCAAGGGATCTACTGTTTAATTTGTAATATTGAGATTTTCGTCATATGTCATATTTGCTGTAATAGATACTAACCAGTCAGCGAGATAGATTCTTTTATAATGCGTAAAAATAATGGTCGAGCATAGTTTGGAAGTGATTTATTAATTCCTATTATCAAATCATTTAAATCTATTTCTCCATTCTTGTCAAAAATTGCTGCCATACCAGCTTTGCCTTCTGTGTAAGGTATCTTTAAAAATAAATAGTTATAATTAAACCAGGATAGGAAAACATTATATTTAAAAGAAATTCTATTTAAGAAAAAAGTTAACATTAATTTAACATTTATTTAAAAAATATTTTTTCTGACAAATGGATCATCTGTATGTTGTTTAAACATTTACCTCAATTATAAAATAACAATATAATACATTATAAGTTAAACAAAAAACTTATTTTTATCAAACTCTAACTAAACTAACAAGGGGAGGTCACGGTGATGGGGTCACCGATTTTCATAAAATTTATATAGATCTAATCTATATTGAATACAGAATCAGACGTATTTGGAATTTTTTGCCAATGCCCCCCCTAAGTCGAGAAAATTGACTTTGAAAATTTTTAATTAGCTTAAATGGGGTCATTTTTCTTCCGGTTAACAATTCGTGTAATGGTTCAGTGGACTATACGTGATCCCACAACACGTACAGGCTCGGGATCGAGTCTCAGCGACTGACGAAATTTTTTGCTTTTTTTTTTTATTGTTTTCTCTTTAAATTATTAATTTTACGGAATATTTGTTAAATTTTTGTATACATTTTATTTATCTATATAGTTTTATTTGCATTCAAAGCACATTTTGATGGTACAAATTATCGATTGTCCAATGGTAAAACTATGATTAAAGTAAACTAAACTTTTATACACATAAATATAACTTTTACTATTAACCAGGTAAGAGTATATGTATAAAGAGATGATTATGAGGATTTAAACATATATAAAATCATTATATATTTTAATTTAACCTATTGTAATTTTCAAAAAAATGTATGTTTGTTATATGACAAAAGTCATAGTCAATTGAATAAATAATAATTTATAATTATATTTTTTATTATTATTAATTTGATTATTAAATAGTAATTAAAAAATAATAATGTAAGAGTTTTAAATACACGTAAATATTAATCAATAAATATAATTCAATTCAAATGAATAAATTTTATTTAATGAAAAAAAAAAATGATTAACTTTACTCCTTCATAAAATATGAACTACACGCAAAACCTAGCACTGAACGTTAAACCTTTCAAAAATCTCTTTCCTTTATAATTTATATACTCTTACTCGGTTAATATAAAAATATATTTTATTTATTACTATAAAAAATTTAACAAATATTCCGTAAAATTAATAATTTAAAGAGAAAACAATAAAAAAAAAAAAAGCAAAAAATCGATCCCGAGCCTGTACGTGTTGTGGGATCACGTATAGTCCACTGAACCATAACACGAATTGTTAACCGGAAGAAAAATGACCCCATTTAAGCTAATTAAAAATTTTCAAAGTCAATTTTCTCGACTTAGGGGGGGCATTGGCAAAAAATTCCAAATACGTCTGATTCTGTATTCAATGTAGATTAGATCTATATAAATTTTATGAAAATCGGTGACCCCATCACCGTGACCTCCCCTTGTAAGTTTAATCTAAATGATTTTTATATGCCTTTTTTTTTTTGTATCTTTTAACTTTTGACAGAGATTGGACGGAATTGATAATATGAAAATTATGTTTAAGTTTATTTAAAATAGAATATTGTATATAAATAAAGTTATAAATTATATTTTAAAAATGTTGAAAAATTTTTAATAGTAGTAAAATGTACGATCTAAATAACAAAATCATTCAAAATACGAAAGCTTTTGTTATTATATTACAATAATTGTTTGGGAATCACTGTAAATAATTAATCTTGTTTTGTTTTTCTCAACTACCGCCTACCTAAACACACCGATACCGACCGTCAACCGACACCGACCGTTTATCGATACCGACCGTCAACCGAATTCGACCATCACCGAAACCTCCGGAAAAGAACATATCGACCGTTAACTTTGAAAATCATTTACGAATATCGTACGTGTGTGCATTAACAATTCGTCGTCGCCGCCGTAGCAGTCGTATCCAAACAGCAAAGGCAAGCGTTATATTTACTTAATTATTTTGTTTTGTTTTTTAATTAATTGTTTGTATTCTGATCCCCCCATTAATTGATTCCCCTTAGTTTTAAGTTCCTGGCCAGGGTTAATGCATTTATGAAATTTTCTTTGGTTAATAATTAATTTATTGTAACGACGTGAACATTGGTTGATTATTTATTTATTTTCAACTTTATTTTATTGTTTTCCTTTTCAATACCTTATACAGTCCATTAATGACCGTGCAATAATACAGGATGATTTTTTTATCATAACCCACTCAATTACTTGCATAATAATAATAATTTAAACATTTTTTTTTTTCATTATCTTTAGTTACATATTATTCTTGAATTTTTAACTATGTAATACTTTTTAAGTTCATCCCTTATGCCTTGAAAGGGGGTCAACTTAGTTTTTTTAAATGGTAACACATATTTTTAATTTAATAAAATGTTTGAGTTTTTAATTTAATAGTAAATGTCATTTGAATTTTTAATATAACTTTATTAGCTTATTAGATATAAACATTTAAAGTTTCANAATTCGTTTATTAGATATAATCATTTAAAGTTTCAAATTTTTGAATTAATATACAGGTATAATACACCTGATGATATGATTACAAATATAGGTAGCTAATTGGTTTTTTATAACACGAATTAGCAGGTACACAGCATTGTTATTATCAATTGTAGTAAGGCACATTGTTATGAGTTTATAAATACACTAACTGACAATACAGAAAGTATATCTATTGATAATCATAATTGATAATAAACAATCCGTGACTGAGACAGCAATGTCATAAAAATCCAATTAGCTACCTGTTTTGTAATCATATCATCAGGTGTATTATACATGTATTTTAACTCAAAAATTTGAAACTTTAAATGTTTATATCTAATAAACTAATAAAGTTATATTAAAAATTCAAATTCCATTTACTATTTAATTAAAAATCCAAACATTTTATTATATTCAAAATATGTTACCATTTAAAAAAACAAAGATGACCCCCCTCCAAGGCATAAGGGATGAACTTAAAAAGTATTACATAGTTAAAAATTCAAGAATAATGTGTAACTAAAGATAATAAAAAAAAAATGTTTAAATTATTATTATTCTGCAAGTAATTGAGTGGGTTATGATAAAAAAATCACCCTGTATATGTTTTAAAGATAATATTATTTGATATTTCTTTTTTAGAGTTTTTGAAATCTATATACACCCATACAATAATAAAATGATTTATTATTAACTTAATAATGAAATGTATTCATAAAAAAATTTAATTTACCTCAACACCATAAACAATACAATCTTTCTGTGCAATTATGCTGCTTATTACGGCTTCCACTTCATTTGTAGAAACATTTTCACCTTTCCATCTAAAGTAAAATAATTTAATTTAATCAATTGTAATGCCTAGAGTAAATATAGAATTTTAAGTATCAGAACAATCAGCACAGTAGAAAGATGTTTTAATCAGACACAAAAACTTATGATATAATATAGATTACATTCCAACACTAATTAAAATTCAGTAAACTAACATCTTTCTAAATTTATTTCACAATCTTAAAAATTGCAGAAAAAAATAATATTTTATTTATAAATTTACCTAAATGTGTCTCCAGTACGATCTTTAAAATAGTAAAAGTTTAATTCATCGCGAACAAGAACATCGCCTATAATAAATTAGTACATAAATATAAGAAAAATAAATATGTATAAATATAATTTGTTTTTGTAGTTAAAAAATAATACATTAAAAGCTAAATTTAAGGATACTTTTAAAGAGTTAATATTGATATTAAAGTAACTCAATATATTTTTTTTTCAATAAAAATAAGAAAAAGTTACTTGTTAATTAGAATATATTAATTGTAAATTGTATCAATACAGTGCTTTAGAAAAAAGGAATGACAAATTTATGGATAAAAAGCATTTTGCCATTAGCTTATTCAAAAATAACGAGATATTAATATTCTCAACATTAGTTTACACAAATAGTATAAATATTAGGAAAATTCAAGATTAAATTTCTATAGAAACTTTATCAATATAATCTATACTTGGTGCTTGAAGTCTATTAAGACACTCATTTTTCTCAGAAACTATTAAGAATTAAAATTTTTGCAAAGAAAAAAAATATTTGGTTTAAAAAACTTAACAATAATATGCAGTTAAATATTTTTTTTTGTTCCTTCAAGAGTAAAAACATTTATTTATAATTTTTTTAAAAAACAACCACTATATTAACTTCATAATATGATAGAAAAAAAATTTACAACTTTGTTTTTATAATTGTTTTTATCTGATCAGATCAACCCTTGGCATTTTACAATTAATTTAGAGACTTGGATTTCAAGTAAAAATACATCATTGTTTGGTTTTATTATACTGGTGGCAGTATAATCAATATTATTACTGATACTAACGTGGTGGAAATATTCTGTTATAATAGACCATAAATTATTTATCATGGCAGTTATCAAATACAATTTAAGATATATATAAAAGTGTCAGACTTTCCGGAAAATTTTCAAAAGTCAAGTTGAAAAAATTAATTTTTTGTAAAAAAGTTGTCATATTAAATCTCCCCCTGTGGGCTGGTAAAGGGTTAAATTTATGAAAATTACTCACTCCCGGAAGGTGAAGGTAGTGACCAAAAATGACGATACGGAAATCATCACTAGTAATCGGAATGAATACTTTATATCTCTTAATTAGAATAAAGCGTGTTAATATATAAATTTTAATAGTAATTAGAATATATATATATATGTATATATATATATACAAATAATGCGACTTAAGTACGTAAACGTATCATGCACTAGGTATAGTCGTGTTTTGTTGGCGGGCGGGTCGGACTAACGTTATACCTGAGGTATAAACGGCGGTAGGAATATATATGTAAGCCGTATGCACGCGGATGATAATGGTCAGTCAAAATAAAAATTTGTTTATATATATATAATATTGATGATACGCACGTGTGTACGGGAACAATAACCAAATATAAATGTATACAGGAATAGTGTTGCCGTCGTGTAGTTAGCGAGGCGTGAGGTGGGGTGAATGCGTTATGACAGTCTAGTCTCAAGGCCATAGACGACGGAAATTGCGATAATGCGTGGCGCTTGGAGAGTTACAAACATACAGACATATATACATACATAAATACAGGTGAAACTAATATAAGCGTGTTAAAATAGCATACGCTAGCCATTTTCACCATGAAGACAAAATAAAGTCCAAAATTTTTTTTTCCATAATAAAGTATAATACATTAGCTTTAATTTAAGATATATATAAAAGTGTCAGTATTTCCAGAACACTTTCAAAAGTTAATTTTTTGTGAAAAAGTTGTCATTTTGAATCCCCCCCTGTGAGCTGTTAAAGGGTCAGATATAAAAAAAAAATATACCAAATGAAAGGTAATGATATCATGCATCTATTTAAAAAAAAAATTACGATGATTTTGTAGCGAGGTGTAATATATAGAAGTAATAAACACTTTTACGATTTAATAACAACTATACTATATTACAACGAACTTACAAATAACAAATAACAGCGAGAAACGAAGCGCGTGTAAGACAGAATGCGTAAGTGATTGACTGATTGACTGACTGACTGGAGCGACGATCTTGCCCTTAAATAGTCAGAGGAATCTTCTAGAGGCGGCGTCGGAACTCTCTAGACATTCGACCGCCACACGCTTATGTAGAGCGACGAATCTTCTAGAGGCGGCGGCGGCGGCCGGACATTCTAGAATATTCGACCGCCACAATTTGGTTATTTTTAAAAAAGTTATGGCAATTTTAAGTACAAAAAAAAAATGAAAAAAAATCGAAAATTAGCGATTTTTAAATTTGTAATTTTTTGGGGGATTTCCTCCGTTTACGGGGAACGAGGGAAATTTTTTCAATTTTTGTGGGTAATGTCTTCGATTAGATACGATTTGTGATCTTTTGACGTAATATTGAAAGAAATCGGTTCGGTGAGAGCTGAGAAAAAGTGGTAACAGACACACACAAAAAAAAAAATAAACACATCTTAGTAAAACCAATACCTTCTCAGCTTCGCATCGAAGCTAATATAAAAATAATATTATATTATTGCTAATTTATTAAACTTTAAATAAAAAAATGTGAACATATTTATTTTTAACTTATATAAGGGATTTCCTTATATTATACAAAGAAAAATAACTTATAATTATAGGTAGTAAAAAAAAGGCTAGAGGCTAATTATTCCATAAATAATCAAACATTTTTAATGAAATTTAATACTTATCTTATAATACCAAAATAAAAATTGTTAATAATACAGTTACTATTTAGAATAATTATGTAATAATGATTAAATTATTAAAATAATTCAATGGTGTATAGGTAAAAGGTCTTAAAGTTTTTATTAAGTTATTTCAAACACATTTTAAATTCATTATTAATTTTAATTGTAAATTTGTTTGATTTTTGAATATTTTATTTTTTTGATCTCAAATCTTTTATCTAAGTAGCATCAACCAGCAGGGGAATCCGCAAGGATTACGGGCCTAACAACCCCGTGGACCCTAGTTGGGTACCGACCTACAGGGACATGGTAACCGATGATAAAAAAGTGGCTCTGGTCCTCGCAGGCTACCCCACTAACAAGTTGACCATAGAGCAGGGGCTACTCATTGAGTCTTGTGTTGGAGACTTGATACTATCGGGTACTGATGGAACCGACGTACCAAGGTTTGAAGACACCAGACTCACTGATGGAGCATTTGTGATCAGTGCAGCCCAAGAGAGCTCTCTTAAGTGGCTCACTGATCATGTCAACCTGATAAAACCTTGGGACGTTGTAGAACTCCAATTGGATGCCAATGTCCTACAACCCGATCAAGTACAAACGGATGGTCACTCATATACCAGGGCTGCAAAAGAGTCCAAGATCTTGGAAATTTTGGCAAAACAAAATCCAGGGCTGAATACAACGATCTGTAAAGTCCACCATGAGACAGAGTAAACCCAACCCAACCTGCATCACAGTAAAGGGGCCAGTAGTGTATTACTAAGGACCGTAACTGAGAGGCATATAATACCCTTCGTAAGAACATTTATTACTATGTTCTTACTACTTATATTACAAACGTATTATTTCTATTTATTTAATTCATAATACATATTAATTAGCATAGAGGGAGATGCTGATGTGACAATTTTACTCGTCTGTAGCCCGGAGCTACTGACGTCGAACTAATAAAGGGAAGTTGTGTTTGAGTGCCTGTTATAGACATAGTTTTCAATACTACTAATAAGTTTTCGTCTTATTTATATTATTTATAACTTAACTTGTTTTATTTAACGACCCGTCTATCGCCAATTGTCATCATAGCCAACCAACTCCGTCTCACTTGGATATACCTACTAACCAACTGTACTAGGGTTCAGGTCAGACGTATTGTACATTACATATAACTTATATTTACTGAACATCTAGAATATAACTTTACTTTGTCGTTGACATAAAACAATAGTCTAATTTTATTTAATAATCTATCCCCTGTAACTAAGGTTACTCAGGTTAAACTTCACTGTTTAACCACTAAGATAGGAAAAGCTATGGAGAATAAAATGTATGCAGTAGGTATATTCCTGGACATTGAAGGGGATTTTGACAATACTCCCTTCGATGCTACGTGTGAATCTGCATAAGAGCATGGAATAGAACCACTTATTATTAAGTGGATAGAATCCATATTTAAGGAATGCTCCATTTTGAGACAGCTCAATGAGACCAAAGTAATCAAGAGTGTTAAACAGGGATGCCCACAAGGCGGGGTTCTATCCCCTTGCTATGGTTTCTAGTATTGGACTCGCTTATTAGAGAGTTAAACAAATATTGTTATACACAAGCCTATGCGGATGACTTAGTTATAGCAGTGGTGGGTAAATTCCCAGACACTATTATAGACTTAGCACAACAGAGACTAAACACTATACAGATATGGTGTAGTAAGTATGGTCTATCTGTTAATCAAAATAAAGCAGAGGTTGTTATGTTCACAAGAAGGAGAATAGGACTAGAAAGTCTTGACACTCTTACTCTAAATGGACAAGAAATTAGCTTAAAATCGGAAGTAAAATACTTAGGTATTATCATGGATAGTAAGCTAAAATGGAAATCGCATGTTGAGTCAAGAATTAAAAAAGCAATGACCACATTGTGGACTTGCAGTAGAGCCTTGGAAAAGACATGGGGTCTTAAACCAAGAGTTATGTATTGGTTGTACACATCAGTGATTAAACCTATGATATTGTACGGTGCCCTAGTCTGGTGGACCAGAACAGCACTCATTACAGATAGGAAAGAACTTAGTCGCATACAGAGAATGGCTGCTATGGCCATCACTGGAGCATTAAAAACTACACCAACGGTCGCATTAGAGGCACTAATTTTTCACAGAGGAGGATTGCCTCCTCTGCATATACAGGTGAAAGCTCACACCAAAGCCACAGCACTAAGATTCCACAACTTAGGTATGTGGACTTTGGGGAGTGATACAACAGAACATGGTAAAAACTAAAAGAGATAGACCAGGGCTTTTTGGAATACCCCTTGGACTATATTAAACCGGTTCTTAAGAATAACATTCCCTAAAAAGAAAAAAGAGGATTTGTGATATATACAGATGGATCCAAAAAATCAGGAAAGGTAGGTGCTGGAATTTGGGGTTTAAAGCCACGAATAAATGTCAGTATGTCATTGGGCACAACACCCTCTGTTTTCCAAGCAGAGGTAATGGCGATACTGGTAGGGGCTCAGAACCTGCTGGTATACAAAAATAGGAAGATAACTATCTTAAGTGATAATCAAGTGGCTTTGAAGGCACTCTGTAACGATCAGGTGAATTCAAAGCTGGTCCTCGAATGCAGGGAAACTTTAGAATCACTATCGAGGTTCAACATAGTTATATTAGCATGGGTACCGGGACACAACAGTGTCACTGGAAATGAGAATGCTGACTTTCTAGCCAGAAAAGGAGCAGAGAACACCTATGTTGGACCAGAACCAGTGGTAGGACTCACTGAGCAATCGCTCAAAGCGTTACCCAAGAATTGGTGCAGAGAACAACACAGGAAAATCTGGAAGTACTTGGTAGTACCTAGACAATTTAAAATGTTTATCAAGACCCCTGGTCTACTTTTGGGTGATCTTAATAGCATGATTAGACATCAAATAAGCACCTTGACTGGTCTATTGACAGGACATGGTCACCTGCTTAAACATCTTAACGCAATGGGGGTTCGGAATCATCATTGTGCAGGAAGTGTGGAGTAAAAGAGGAAGACTCATTTCACATCATGTGCGAATGTGAAGCCTTGCCCACACTAAGATCAAACTACTTGAATAAAACTTTTTTTGAAAAAGAAGATATTAAAAACCTAAAACCCAGAGAGATACTTAATTTCGCCAGAAAGACAGGACTCTTTGGTCATCTTTAGAGGTGACTTTATGGTTGGTAATGTATTAACACTTTGGTGATAACACTTAGGTGGGTAAACCGAATCAAGACAATTCGGTATGAGGTTCGCACAATGGACCAACGGGTCTGAGTGTATGGTAATTATGTCCACCTAGATAATAACTAAAACAAAACTAAGCATCATAAGTAGAGTTAGAGGTAGATTTCGTAGACTAATCACCTCAAAAATTCAGAAAACTATATAAAAAGCTTAATAAAAATATTTTTTAAGTAGGAGACAATTATCATTAGACCCCAAATTATTTTATAATTTTGTCTATGAGCAACACTATTATTATTTTTATTAATCTTATGCAAAATCATACAATAAAGGTAAAATAAAAAGGATGTCACTAATTTTTTATCTTATAAATTGTTTATTGACTATATTAGAAGACTTAAAAATTAAATATCTTGTTCATAAAATACTTTAGTAGAGCAAAACTAAAAAAGTATAATAGTTACCAGTATTAAAAAATTTATCATCCTTTTGAAAAACATCCTTAATAATTTTTTTATTAGTAGCTGTTTTTTCTACATAACCAGTAAATGAATTTTCAGTTGTATTTTTGATTTTACCAATCAATAATCCAGGTTCTCCTTAAATAAGAACAATTAATTTTTAGATTGCTGTCTGAAGATAAAATCAACAATGATATAGTACCGTGTTTACCACAACCGCATATAAACCTTTATGGTGGAAGTGTATCCAGGATTAAAATCTACTATTCAAGGCGTCGTAGAGACAAACCATACCACTAGCTATACACTTATGATTCAGATTCCAATACACTTTTATATAGGCTGATATGTGGCTTAGGGAAACAGTATTGTGTCAACAACAAATAAAGGTGAAAATCATTACGAATAATACTTCATAATAATTTAAAGAAAATTTTAGCTTTGATGCGAAGCTGAGAAGGTATTAATTTTATCATGATGTATTTATTATTCATTTTTTTCAGCCCTCACTTAGCGAATTTTTTTAATAAAACACCAAAATATCACATAATGTATTTATTTAAACTTATCAACACCAAAATTTAAAAAAATTTCCATTATTTCTTATAAATGATGAGAAATTCACCAAAAAATTGCTATTTTTACATTGATGAATTTTAATATTTTTTATACTTTTTTAAACTGAAAACTGTCATAACTTTTTTAAAAATAGAAGAATCAAAAAAATTTTTTTTTTTATAAATATCTTTTTTAGGTATATATTTATTGAAAATCTGACCCTTAATCTGCCCACTGGAGGAGTTTCAAAATCAATACTTTCGCAAGAAAAGATAACCTTTTCAACCTAACTTTAGAAAATGTTCTTATTAATATGCTAATAACTATTAAAGTAATAATCCAAAAGTTATTATCAACTAGTCGTTTTCTATTTTTAAATTAGTAAAATAAGTATTTTGCCAATTGAAAAAATAATGTTAGTACCTTTATAAGGAATAAGGAATGAACCTAAAAAAATATTTAACCAATTTTAAATCAAGGGATAATTACTATTACACAAAGCCAAAAAAAATATATATTTTTTCAAGATTATTATTCAAAGAGAAGTTTAATAGTTATTGGAAAATTAATCATTCCATAAAATTATTTCCTGATAGTTTTTTAAATGACAATATAATTCATATTAAAATATTGATAACAAAAATTAAAATAAATCTTACCAATTTCACATTCAATACATAGATTATTACTTCCTCGTAAAGGTTCATTAGTTACTGGATCAACTTTTATCAATGTTATAGGATAAAATAGTTGAGCAATAATAGGAATGAAACCTACTGCACCAATTTTATTAGTAGCATTCACTAAAAAAACAAGATTAATAATAATATCTGGTAATCAATTTATACAAGTTTAGTTTAACTTAAAAAAAAAAGAATAAACATATTTATAAACATTTCAAGTTCAATCACAAAAATTATAATACATAATATTTTTTTTTCCAGGAATTTTTTAAAAATCTAGCACAGTGGGACTGCAAAATAATTGAGACAAGTTTATATGATATCTGAAAGTAATTAATTACACAATCATATTGAAATACTTTGATTCAAATCTGTTAAATTTTTTTAACATATTATTTTTATGAATTTGAACTACAATATTAAAAACAGAAAGATTAAAAAAATTTGTCAGATTTTCTTTTGAAAAAGTTGCAATTTTTTTATTTTGAGAAATAATTTCTCAAAGAAAAACAATTATTGGACGTTTCTTTTTGATATAGTAGTATATTTTAAAAGTTTTAAATTGATATAGGTAAGAAGATGTCAGACTTTCCAGAATAATTTTAAAAATAGATGAAAAAATATTTATAAATGCAAAAGGTGGTCTCTTTCAAATCCTTCCTTTACCTAGGTTTTTCATGATTTTTATAAAACCATACAAAAAAAAAAAAAAGGCATAACAGTAGAGTCACACCACGGTGTAGACCTGGTATAGTTGAGTCGAGTATAGATGATATCTGACAGTGATTAAAATCACTATCAGAAGCAATACAAATCTATAGATAGTGTTTAATTTTAAGAAATTGGTGGATCATTGTAAAAGCAAAATGAACTCTTATTTCCTTTTTTATATACTGTTTTCTAGTTTTATGATATATAAGTGTAATATATAAATAAATATTTGGTAATTTCATTCAACTTCGGCGACCATGTCTCTGTGGATATGGATAAGAATACTTCCACGGCCCTTCTTCTACCAGTCGTAAGAGGTGACTACTAAGATTGCATCAGATCGACAGTTGGCGTATAATTTTGTAGAAGTAGCTAGGAAAAGTAATAGAATTAGTAGTAAAATTAATTATCGAGGAAAAAATGTTGAATGTAATAAGTGCCTATGTACCACAAGTAAGATGTAATGAAATAGACAAGGAAGTGTTTTAGAGAAAGATGGATGAGGTGATGCAAGGAATACCTCACAATGAGGATGCAGTGATAGGTAGAGATATGACTAGACATGTAGGTAATGAGAGGAGAGGGATAAGAAAGAGTACATGGAGGGTATGGTTTTAGTGAGAAAATAAGGCTATAGAAAGAATCCTGGATTGTGCAATATCGTATGATCTTGCTGTGATTAATACTTATTTTAGAAAGACAGAAAACATAATGTAACTTATAAAAGTGAGAGTAATAGGTAACAGATAAATCACACATTGGAAGACAGAGATTTTAAAGTGAGTAAAAGATTGTAAAGTTATCCCAGGCGAACGTGTAATTCCACAGCATAGACTGATAGTAATAGTGTTGTGGTGTAGTGGTAATAAAGTATACAAAAGCAGAAAAAACACAGAAGGAGGATCAAGGACCATATGGTGGAAAATGAAAAAGAATTTTTAAAGACAGTAAAAGAGAGGACGGTGTGGAATGACGAAGGAGATATTAATTATGTATGGATTAGATTTGCTAGCTGTGTAAAGAATATTGTAAAGGGAGATTGTTGGTGAGAGTGGGAGTAGAATACCAGGAAACAAGGAAACCTAGTGGTGGGAAGAGGACATTCAGAAAATCATAGAGATTAAGGAAAAAAAGTTCAAATTATGGTAGAAGAACAAAAGGAGAGGATATTGGACAGAGTATAAACACTTGTGAAAAGAAGCCAAGTATCCAGTAAGGCGAAGTTTAAGAGATATGATGAGTTGTATGATAAGCTAGGAACAAAGGAAGGTGAAAAAGAAGACTATAGACTTGCAAAAATAAAAGAAAAATGTTCTAAAAATAATCACTATGCAAGTTGGGTTAAACCCAACCTAATGGGATCAAAATGGTTTGTTCATGTTACGAGGAGAGAGCAATCGTAAGCTGTAAAAACAGTTATAGAAATAAATGTTGAAGGAAGAAGAGATAGAGAAAGACTAAAAAGAGATGGAGGGGTGTTATTAAAGTCAATATAAAGATGGCTGATATAAGCGTTAAAGATGTGGGAGATCGTGTCTAGTAGAAGTTTAGGATAAGGGTGACCAACTCCCAGTAGTTGAAATTGAAGCGAGGAAAATGAAGAAAAAGGAAGTTCAAGTTCGACAGCAATTTGCACATAGAAGATAGGTCGTCGGTAAACAATTGTTTTTATAACTTATAGTATGTAACATAAGTTGAAAAATTTGACTTTTGTGAAAAAGTTGCTAGGTTGAATCCCCCTATGACCAGGTAAATAGACAGGTTTTTAAAAAAATTATATCAAATTAAAGGGAAATACTTCCTAATATATTTAAGTTTCTATATAAGGAAAATTATTTTAATTTTTTAATTTTTGAAAAAGTTATGGCAGTTTTAAGTACCAAAAAAAAAACTATTGATAGAATGTGGTTTTTACACGGAAATTACATTTTTGGTTCAACTACAGAAGCCATTTGCACAGAGAAGATAAGTTATTTTTTAAAAGTTATGTTGAAAAAATTGACTTTTGTGAAATAGTTGCTATTTTAAATTCATCCTTGTGGACAGGTAAAGGGTTAGGTTTTGAAAAAATTTATATCAATTAATTTTGTAAACAAATTTAAAAGGTGTAAAATGAATTTTGGGGAGGCCTATCGCTTCCAAATTTCTCACTTAAACATGCCTTTGATATAAAATACAAAATGTTTATAAATATTTAACAGACCAAAAAGAATTTACACTATCATAACTAATAAAATTAAAATAAAACATATTTTTTTATAAAAAAAACCTATATTTTTTTTGTAAAATGAATTAACTGTTTTTTTAAATCAATACTTTTAATTTTTGTCCTCACTCATATTGGCGTTTCCTTCTGTAGCACCATAAAATTCAACAATTTTCTGTATATTGAATCTTTGGACAAATTCTTGCCATATTTGGGGGCGTAAACCATTTCCTATTATCATTCTAACTTGATGACTAGTATCAAATTCTGAAGTAGGTACAGATAAACAATAACGACACATTTCTCCAATATACTGAGCAATCTTTAATCATAAATAAATTTAGAATTTTTTTAACTGTTCTATAGAATTTTATTTTTTTGTTGTAAACTTTTGTTAATTATAAACTAAGTTTGACTACTTTAAAAAGATATGCTAATAAAAATATCCAAGTTAAAATTGAATGAACATTTAAATGCCATTATTGGAGATACCCAAAGAACATACTGTAAAAAGATAAAACAATACAAGTATTCTTGAATATCTTGATATTAATAATTATTTGATTAAAAATTTCTTTTTATTCCTAGAGGAATAGTATAACTTTGTCTTTTAATAAGCTATGCAAGTCAGAATATTGAGAAATTTGAGAAATCTATATTTTTCTTTGATTAGTAATATAGAGCTAAATATTTAGTTTGATAAAAAATGAACAAAACATTTTGACCATCTATATCATAAAGACATTAAGTATTAAAGAGTGTCGGATAAATTACTCTTATTTGGTAATTAAATTCAATGATAATGTTGAATGGAATAGGTTATGTAATTAAAAGATTTAGAAATTATTTGTAATATAATAGTATTTAATATAAAATATTAAAACATTTAATATAAGAGATGTACAACGGCAACGGGTCACTTTACTCGATAGACGGTGAAACTACGACTAAACTCTAAACATGTATACAATAGGCTGCATTGAGTAAAACAACATAATCGTAAAAGGAATGTGTCCCTTTGACCTTGTACTATACTAACATAAATAAAAATACATTAAACTGTTATCTTAAATAATATTACTGTACCCAGTGTGTTGTTTAATAATATCAACAGATAAATTACTCAACGCATTAGGAACTAAACTACTTAATATAAATAACAAGTAATGAAAATATAATAATTTTATGTTATATAGTAACTTAATTCCAATACAAGTTGCTTTTTTTCATTAATATGGTTAAATATGGATTTTATTTAAATTAAATATTAAAATACCTTAATATTTATACACAGAGGAAGAGGTAAGAACATTTTTAATAATATTAGTATTTGAGGTGGAAAAATAATCATTGGTGTCAAGAACCACTTTCTATGCCATTGTTTGATTATTGACAATTATTCAATTGTACAATTATTTGTTATGATTAATTTTAAAATATTTCTCTTTAATTATCAGGGATATTTATAATTCTCTAAGTTCCAAACTTGATGTATATGTATAAATCACATTAATATTGTAAAAACTAATGTATAAAAATTTTAACTCAACATTTATAACATTTGATGATTATTATCTATTAAAAGTAAATGGACTTTAGTCCACAATGCTGTAATACCAGTATTATAATTACTGGGAAAATTTGATTCAAATTTTTTATCTATTATTATTTCATACTAACTTACATCAATATAATTTAGTAGCTAATAACTCTGGTAAATTTTTAGATTTTATATATTAGAATATTTCTAATTGTTTATCATGAAAAAAATTCTATTGTAATGTTAGATTTTCTTTAACATTCTTGTTTTGTTGCCATTTGAATTATCAAACAACTTATATTATTATGAAGACATATATAATTTCAATAGTTGTAATTATAATTTAATTAGATAGTGTACTGCCTCTATAAACTGAAATAATATATTTTATACATTAAACATAAATAATACAGTAACTATTGTCTACGATTCTATTTTTAAACTTTTAAAACGTATTATTCAAAGTGACAAATACATCATAACAATACTTGGTATGGTTTAGCAATGTTTTAATACAACTAATTAAAAAAAAAAGTAGCGCATACAATTTTTAAACAAACTCCAACCTAAAATTTACTATGAACTTTTCATCAACTATACTCAAACATGTATAAATTTTAATCCAAATTTATTTGGGAAATTCATTAATAGCAAATACTCTAATTCTTCTTTACCTTCAATAATGTTACATTAATTTTGATCTAAGTGCTTTACAGTAAAAATTAAATTTACAAAAATATTTGACATTGAATATAATTTTAAGGTTTAATTTTGTTACTTACAGTACATTTATATTTAATACAATCTTTCCAATAATTTGATGCAGAAAACTTAGACTTAATTACACAAGTTGATCCACCTAAAAGTACAGAGCCTACTCCTAATATACCACCAGCAGTATGGTATAAAGGTAAAGGAGTATATAAAATATCGTTTTCATTGATTCCAGCTACGTGTTTGGTTCCCATAGCTATGTATATGGCTCTATAATTATGGTAAAATATAAAACATTACTGTTAAACAAAATAAATATGAGATTTAAAATTCAATGCATTTATTCTAATTATATAAAAGGTTTTTAAAAGAAACAGTACTGATACTTTAGTACATGTAGTTTTTGTAATTTTCAATTTTATTAGTTTTTTTTTCCTACTCGGAAAACCCGATACAATAACACTTATTATACGAGTTTAACTACCTTTAATTATAATTTTATAGAGAAATCTTAAGAGAGCACTCAAGTATTTTTTTTCGGCGCATCAAAATATGTGTGGGATGATCATAGATTCTGGAGGATTGAGTGGTCGTAGAGAAATGATCAATATATCAAATTAAACATAATAAAAATATCTACATCCGTGCATTGGCGATTTTCGATAAAAAACTTTTTTTTTTTTTTTTACTATCATAACTTTGTTTAAAATTGGTTTATCAAAAATCGCCGATGTACGGATGTAGATAATTTTGTTATGTTTTATATATGTTATATATTGATCATGTCTTTACGACCATTCAATCCCCCAGAATCTGTGATCGCTCCAGAAATGTTTTCTTATATTTTTAAATTATTTACGTCGTTTTATGACAACCCTAGCGGAGTAAGTTGCACACGTGCGACCATCAGCGGAAGCGAATTCGAAAACCGGTGTTTGATTTTTTTCTTAATTACTTGAGAGATTCTAAACATCAATTTTTTGAAGCGTGTAATTATTTTTTACTCGAAAATGTACTTTAATATCAAAGTTTGTTTTTTTGTTTAATTGAAGTTACAACTAAAAAGTAAACTTCTGAAACACAAAAAATTACGCATTTTTGTTTTGTTTTTCATTAACTTCTGTTTTACTTACGAAAAAAGTACTAGGGATTGTGATAGTGTCACGTCACCATTATAGCAGAAAATTATTATAATAAAATACCTACATCGCATCCACTTCTAGAGACTTATGAATTAACGATTAATATTTATTGCAAAATTGGCAATTGTCTGAATTATTATTTAATCCTAAACCTGGCTATCGTGGTCAATCGATTCCAGTGATTTGTGTTATTCATCTCAGTTGTTGCTATCTGGCTTACTGCATAAAGTCAAGTCTTTGTTTTTTCATTTCACCAACCTACTTTCGTCCTCAACATTTCAGAATACTTGTGTATTGAACTTCGTCTGCACTTCATATCTAGGTGTTACCCTTATTCATTTCCTATAACAACGGCCTTTCAACACCCACAGCTATTACAAAAAATCAGCCGAGCACGGTAACTGCTAAATGATCACACGTACGTGAATGCCCAGGCAACAGAATCAACATCATCTTCGTACACACTACCACTACACCCTTACTTTTGTGTTTTGTTTTGTGTAACAACAGAATGAGGTATTTAAAACATAAATTTTTTTTTAGTAGTTTCGATGCGAAGCTGAGAAGGTATTGGTTTTATTAAGATGTGTTAATTTTTTTTTTTATAGATGCTTGATGTCTTTATCTATCATTTGGTATATATTTTTTGTAAATTTGACACTTAACCTGCCCACAGGAGGGGATTTAAAATAACAACTTTTTTACAAAAAATTAACTTTTTCAACTTAACTTTTGAAAATGTTCCGGAAGGTCTGACACTTTTATATATATCTTAAATTAAAGATAATGTAATATACTTTAATTTGAAAAAAAATATTTGACCTCTGGACTTGTGTTCACGGTGAAAATAGACATCAAAGTTAATAAAACTCAGCACAGGGGGGTCGAGGCACAGTGGTGATAGTTGGATCAAGTATAATGATATCTGACAGTGATTAAAATCACTATCAAAATAAAACGCTTCAATGCAAATCTTTAGATAATGTAAAATTTTAAAAAAATTGGTGTTTTATTCCAAGAGCAACATGATCTGCTAGTTCCTTATTAATATCTCGATTAAGATAAAGTATGTCGAACGAAAAAGGGATTATTAAAAAATATTATTTCTCAGAAAATAATTTTGTGAATCCATACACTTTTCAATAAGTTATAGAATTATAAAGTTAAAAATGTAAAAAATAAAATCGAGAATTTTCACACGAAAATAGCATTCGGTAGCCATTTTCACCATGAAGACAAGTCCAGAAGTCAAATTTTTTTTTTCAAATTAAAGTATATTACATTAGCTTTAATTTAAGATATATATAAAATTGTCAGTCTTTCAAAAGTTATGTTGAAAAAGTTAATTTTTTGTAAAAAAGTTACCATTTTGAAACCCTTCCTGTGGGCTGTTAAAGAGTCAAATGTTCACAAAATTATATAAAATGATAGGTAAATATCTAAGGTATCTATAAAAAAAAAATATATTCATTTGGTCATTTTTAAAAAAGTTATGGCAATTTTAAGAAAAAAAAAATCGAAAATTAGCGATTTTTAAATTTGTAATTTTTTGGGGGATTTCCTACGTTTACGGGGAACGAGGGAAATTTTTTCAATTATTGAGCGGAATGTCTTCGACTAGTTACGATTTGTGATCTTTTGTCGTATCGTTGAAAGAAATCCGTTCGATGAGAACTGAGAAAAAGTGGTAACAGACACAAAAAAAAAATAAACACATCTTAATAAAACCAATACCTTCTCAGCTTTGCATCGAAGCTAAAGAAAAACACATCATAGTAAACTAATACCTTCTCAGCTTCTCATCGAAGCTAAAATTAGAAGTGATAGAAAAAGTGTAATTGCAGATTTGAAAACACGCGAAAAGTTGATTTAGAAAAGTATATTTTTGCATCTGATAAAAGTTCCTTGTAGTCCAGTGCATTTTTTTATAGTAACAAACAGTTTTTATTGAAAATTATTGTATCAAGCCCTTTAAATTTTTATACACGTAAAAGTAAAGCAAAATATAACTTCTTTATTATTTTTATAATTTCTCCGTTTNCTTATTTTTAGACAATAAGGGCAGTACAAGTTGAGTAATAGTGACAACAGATAAAAAAAATTATAAATGGTCATTATGGTATAATTAAATACTTATTGATTAATTAAATAATTTATTAATACAATTATAAACATAATTTTCTAAATTTTTTCAAGAGGATAATTTATTAAAATTTAGAACGATTCACCAGATCGAGAGACTACTGGTAGTGGTGATTACAGATGAATTGTACAGTTAATTACGTTGTTGTTAAAAAAAATAAGTTAATAATTGTGTAATATATATGATAGATATAACTGATAGATTGTGAATTTTTTGTAATGAATTAAAAGAAAATTCCTTAGTATACGTAAATAATGTGCTAAATTAATAATAATCTACTAAATTATTAGAATTTCTAAATAACCATAAGCATTTGGACTTGACAAAAATTTGATTACTTTTTAATTCAATTACAATAAACATTTGAATTTTACTGTGAAAAAAGTAACACTTTAATGAAAAAATTTAACTTTTTCGATTATGATTTTTATGAATAAATCAAAATTATTCAATAGGTTAAAGTAATTTGTTTATCTTTTCATATTTTCAACTTCGAGGTCTCTATGATTATACTTAAAATAACATTATGTTATAGCCAATTGATATTTGAAAGATTAATAACAATAGATTATAAACTCTATAAATTATTCTTTAACAAATTAATGTTTATCAAGACAATCATGAATTTTGGAGAATTTTTTTTTATATCTCTATATCAAACAAACTTAATATGTTTTTAATATCATTTTATTATTACATAAGGTAGTTTATAAGATTAGTTGGTCAGACCTAATATATATATATATATAAAACTCCATACATTTGTAAAAATTCATAATAAATTTTAAAATCAATTGAAACAAAAAATGTATTCACATAAAACTATCGAAAAGTAATTTATCTGCTTAAACAGCTTATTTAAGCTGTTTCGCCTGACAATTTAATTTTAAATATGGACTATGCCATTCAAATCTTAGTTATCTAAATACCTTGATTGAGTCATAATTGCAGCTTTAGGTAATCCTGTTGTACCAGATGTGTATATATAAAGCATTTCATCATTAGAAGAACCCAAATGAATATCATCTTCTGGAGATTTTGTAGATACATCTGCTAATTCTTTGTCTAGGATAACCACTTGGACTAGGTTGATATATTTAATAGAATTAATTATACGGCCAGTTTTCAAGTATATTCGTTTTGAACTAAACAACCCGTTATTTTTATCTGTAAGTATGTTTGATAACGCTAAAAAATAAAAAAAAAAAGTATTTATGATAACTTCAAAATGTTCAGCATGAGCACACCAAGAACTTAAAATCACTATCCAAAAAAAACGCTTCGATGCAAATCTTATGATAGTATTTAATTTTAAAAATTGGTGCATTATTCCAAAACCTACAAGATCTGCTAGTTCCTTATTAATAACCTGATTAAGATAAAGTATGTCGAATGAAAAAGGGATTATTAAAAAATATTATTTCTCATAAAAAAATTGTGTTGATCCATACACTTTTCAATAAGTTATAGCATTATAAAGTTAAAAATGTAAAATACAAAATCGAAAATTTTCACACAAAAATAGCATTCGGTAGCCATTTTCACCATGAAGATAAGATAAAGTCCGAAATTTTTTTTTTCATGATAAAGCATATTACATTAGCTTTAATTTAAGATATATATAAAAGTGTCAGACCTTCCGGAACATTTTCAAAAGTTATGTTGAAAAAGTTAATTTTTTGTGAAAAATTTGTCATTTTAAATCCCCCCCTGTGGGCAGGTAAAGGATCAGATATAAAAAAAATATACCAAATGTAAGGTAAAGACATCATGCATCTACATAAAAAAGAATTATATTGATCCATACATCTTTCAAAAAGTTATAGCATTATAAAGTTAAAAATATAATAAAGAATTTTTTTACAAAAATCGTATTTTTTTTATTACGTTTAATGTCTATTTTTACCATGAAGATAAGATAAAGTACGAAATTTTTTTTTATAGATGCATGATGTCTTTACCTATCATTTGGTATATATTTTTTTTATATCTGATCCTTTACCTGCCCACAGGGGGGGATTTAAAATGACAACTTTTTCACAAAAAATTTACTTTTTTAACTTAAATTTTGAAAGTGTTACGGAAACTTTTATATACAGGATGATTTTTTTATCATAACCCACTCAATTACTTACAGAATAATAATAATTAAAAATTTTTTTTTTATTACTATCTTTAGTTACACATTATTCTTGAATTATTAACTATGTAATACTTTTTAAGTTCATCCCTTATGCATGGTAAGGGTGTCAACTTTGTTTTTTTAAATGGTAACACGTATTTTTAATTTAATAAAATGTTTGAGTTTTTAATTTAATAGTAAATGGCATTTGAATTTTTAATGAAACTTAATTTGTTTATTATATATAAACACTTAAAGTTTCAAATTTTTGAATTAATATACAGGTATAATACACAAGGGATTACAAATATAGGTAGCTAATTGGTTTTTTATAACATCGATATTAGCAGATACACAGCATTGTTATTATCAATTGTAGTAAGGCACATTGTTATGAGTTTATAAATACACTAACTGACAATACAGAAAGTATATCTATTGATAATCATAATTGATAATAAACAATCCGTGAATGAGACAGCAATGTCATAAAAATCCAATTAGCTACCTGTATTTACAATCCCATGTGTATTATACATGTATATTAACTCAAAATTTTGAAACTTTAAATGTTTATATCTAATAAGCTAATAAAGTTATATTAAAAATTCAAATGCCATTTACTAT